TATATATATATTTATATATATATATATATCTTGCTAATGAACTTTTAATGAACTTTAGTTCAACGTTAAATCTCTGATGAACCAGATTCTACAAAACCATCTATATTTAAAATTTTATAGTTTTTGTTCATCATTTGATGTATTTGCACTCATTGTGTCTACTTTTATTATTCAATTTAGATGTGTGGTTTTGTTTCTGGTATACAAATTATTATTTTTTATTTTAACTTTGCTTTCAAGTTGTATTCTTGTTTTGTGATCTGTACATCTGTGGGTTAGAATAAAGTTGAACTAAAGGTCGTATCTCTTCTTTAAACATATTTGAGGGAAATATTCCTGAGAGATCCAATAATTTTGTGTCTTTTTATGATTTTTCAGATGAGGTAAATTTAATTAACAATTTTTTTAATAAAGTCGTTAAAGTGAAAACAGGATTTCATGATAAAGCCAGCACTGTTTATTTATTTTTAATCTTCACTGATAAAAAAACAACAACTTTTTTTAATACATAAAATATTTTTAAAAATCGTTTCCACCCTCAATCCCAGACCCATCCCGGTCCGCCCGTCTGCCAAGGCTTGGAGTTCGGCCTTTGTGAGTACGCAAAGCCAGACCCCAGTGTCGGCAGCTCGTATGATCCTCAATGACTAGCTCGCTCTGAATTTTGTCGTCGGTCACCAAGCACAAAAAAAAAACGCCTGGACTTCAGCTTAGACCACGGTCTTGTCATTATTGTTTTTAAAATCTTAAAAATAGGTCCAATTGCTGCTCCGAGTTCTGAGTAATTGCAAATGGTAGATCGAGATGCTTTGAAAAGTTTCTGAAAGATCCAGTGACTCCGCCCCCTGACCAATCAGTGACCGACAGTGTTCTGATGTCACGTTTTGGTGCCAGCTTGGCTCGCTTGGTACCCCAGAGAAGAAGAGACTATAAAGAGGTCAGTTCCACGAAAAATTGCTAGTGGAAAAATGCTCCGAACCGTACTGAACCAAGTCGTGCTGAAGAGCAGCTGTGGAAAAGGCCTATAAGTTATAACGGCACATGCTGAAAGAAAACAAACCGTATCTTAAAGATGCATCAAGATGAAAACACTAAAGCACATGTTTGTCTTACCAATTATAAATTAATTCAATTAAATTCTGGTTATTTATATAGCTCCAAGTCCCAACAGATGTCAACTCAGGGCACTGAACAAAAATGTTCACATACATTATAAAAGCCAATTAGTAAATTAAATAATATTAGTAATAGTGCATTAAAGAATACAACTTTAGAACAGTTAAAAGACTGACGTTAATCTAAAATACACGGAGAGGAGAGACCTGAGGAAAGGAGGTGTGGCATTAGAAAATCTGCTCTGTCTTCAAGCAAAATACCTGCAACATTCAGCCATAACATTATGACCAGTTATATGGTACTGGTTATAATGTTTTGGCTGATCAGTTTAGTATTCCGAGTCACAGAGCAGAAGTGAGAGTTCACACATTTTATGGGATTTAATATAAAAAAGGCCAAACACATAAAAGCACACACACACACACACACAGAGGGGTGTTATCTCTTTGTGAGCTGCAGGCTATTGGGGGTGGGGGTGTTGATAGGGGGGTTTATGGGGGTCAGTGAAAAGGGATCAGTATCTCTGCTGCCTTTGGAGCACTGCAGCTCATCAATTTGGACTTCAGTGAGATCGGCGCTCATCCCAGCCTAATCCAATCCCTCTCCTCTCCCCTCCTCTGCCTCCCAGTAATTGCTTCTGTTTGTTTATTAATAGCCAATGTTATCTTCAAAAATCCAGAGCGCTGGCTGCCAAGTATTCGCAGCGAGGAGGCGGCAGCAGTGGTGGCGGTGTGGTGGACGCGTCAGACACCCAAAACTTGACAGGAACTCTGAGGAGTCCAGTCCAGCAACATCCCCTCCTCTCTCTCTCACTCAGTCTCTGTAGGTCTCACGCCCCTGGATTTACCTCGAGAATATTAATCAGGATCTGTTTTTCCGCTAGAGTCCCCCCTCCCCATCCTCCACACTACCCACCTCTCTCACCACGGTCTCCATGAGGCAGCTGAGCCCCAACCTGAGCGAGATTAGTTGCAAGAGGATCGTCAGAGTAAACTGAAAGCTCGTGGAGTCAAACGGCGTGGAAAATCTCATTTGAATTGATCGGAGATAGCGCCGGGTTTCTGGAGACGGTAAACAGTGTTCAGATGTGTTCAGAGAGCTGAAACATCAGGATCATCCACGTGGAAGACTGCTAAAAGACACACAACCCCCAACCCCCTCTCTACCCTTTTATCCTGATTTCCTTTCCTCTTTAAATTTGTTTTGTCGAGACGAGAGGAACGTCCTCATTTTGAGCGAGCGTTGAGCGAGAGGCGGAATGCCACAGAGACGTAAAGAGACGAGAGTAAAGGCGTTCAAACACTTTGATTACAAATGACAGTTTTAGCTGGGCTTCTTACTTTGCATATCTGTTTTCAAATAGGATTTTTTTCCACCCTTTATCTAGTTTCCCAGCCGTTGCAAACTGTTCAGTTTAAATAATCTCATCCAGCAACAAAACAGCTTGTAAGGAAGTTAGAAATTAGCAGAGATTTGCAGGGAGTTTTCACAAAGCCTCCTTTATGTGTCTGTTAAAGCTAATACAGATTCAACAGGGTGCCTTCTCCACTCGTGCCAAGTTGTGTTTTTTTAACACCTCCCCCACGTGTTGAGCATTTTCAGAGATCTCTATGATTCAAGCAACGGGGTTTGGATGACATTCAGTGTAATCGTCCAATATCTCAAGATAAGAGAACATGTGAAAGATTAGACGTATGGAGCTCAACCTAAATGGCATTTAAATGAGTTGGCATATAAATGGCATATAAAAGTTGACCTTGAGAGGTTGTTCTGCCTGAGAAAAAAAGTTTTAATGTCTGCTTTATGCTTGTCAGAGATAATGGTTGTCTTATTAGGAAACATTTTGCCTGTTTTAGAGTCAATGGGAATAAAAGGACTCGAGTAATAGCTTCCTGTTACTTCTACTGGTTTCTGTATTAAAGTTCATAGTCATGTCATTTACCGTATATACTGGGAGCAACTGTGCCTGAGTGGTTAGAGTGGTTGTCCTCCAATGGGAGAATTGGGGGTTCGATTCCACCTGTAGTCACATGTTGAAATGTCCTTGGGCAAGACACTGAACCCCTCATTGCTTCTGATATGTGTCCCATCAGTGAATGAATGTGATCTAAAGCACTAATTATTATTTGTAGAGACAGAGTACTGTATGAATGTGTGTGTAGTAGAGTGTTGTATGAATTTGTGTGTAGTAGAGTGCTGTATTTTTTTTTTTTTCATTCATTCAACCTTTATTTAAACAGATAAATCACATTGAGCCTCCAAAACTCATTTACAAATGAGACCTGTTTGGACAGACAATAAAAAGTAGTGAAAATGACAACATAGGGTTTGGAGACAAAAATATTCCTAACATGCTCTTAATCTTTGGCTGAAGGTTAACAGCATGACAATGAAAAAAAATTGCACATAAGCACATAATGACGCCGCCATTCCGCAGGTGAAGGGACGCAAGAGCGGTGAGCATGTCCAGAGACAACACACAAAGGCTCTGCAGAGTTCAGATAAAATCGCTCAGTTCACAAAGTTCCCTCTGGAGAGATCCGTAAACTCTCCAGGTGTGCTGAGGATGGCCAAGGACGTCAGATAGAATCCAGAGTCCTAAAATGATGACAGATTCAGCTGGGCCCCTCTGATTGGATAGTAGACTTCCTCAGTGGGAGAGAAGGGAGGGGCAGAGCATCAAAGGTTTCCAAAGCTTCCAGGTGAATTAAGATAAGGTGGCCTGACAAAGCCAGTCAGGGAGCTGAATTCAGATAAGCACGATTGTTTTGGGGACAGGCAGAACTTTACTGACATCTACTTTGAGTCTGTGTCGGTCCATTCAGTTCTGAAACATCCAAATTACATGGCCACACCCCTGGACCATGCCTGAGCGTAATCTCCAAGACCTGATTCATCCTGCCAAAAGCATTTGAATTTGGGTGCTCGAGGTATGAACCAAGCCATCATATAAGGCAGGCAGCCTGACCAGGTCCAAATTTGTTGCAGACAACTTCCTTGTTTGTTGATTACCCCCTCACTGAAAGGTGCTATATTTATGTACTTTCTATGCTCTAAATGAATTTAATTAATAAATGTCCTGAAGCATGCTCAATAATCCACATAGATAAATCTAAAAAAGTTAAGTCATGTCCTCTTGACGGGTTCAGTAAAACAAAAAAATTGTAGAAATGTTTCGGCTTTCATCCAAAAGACTTCTTCAGTTCTTCAGATTGAAAATATCTGGACATACAACACACAGTACACCCAAGTACTTATAGTTGGAGACCATTTCCACTGTGGATCCTCCTATGTTCAGGGTGGATAGGTGTGTTTGTTCCGCCTGAAGTCCACAAACATATCCTTCATCTTCTTCACATTGATGTGAAGGTTGTTCTTCCTGCACCAGCTCTCCAGGTTTTCCACCTCCTGCCTGTTGCTCAACTCATTGTTGTTTGTGATGCATCCTACCACCACTGTATCGTCTGCAAACTTTACAGTATGGCAGCCTGGATGGAAAGGTTCACAGTCATACGTGAGCAGAGTGAACAGGAGAGGGCTCAACACACAGCCCTGAGGGGAGCCAGTGCTGAGGGTTATGGTGGAGGAGGAGAAGTTGTGGATCCTCACATACTGTGGTCTATTTGTTAGGAAGTCTATGATCCAGTTGCAAATGGAGGGGCTTAGTCCTAGTGTTAGTACTTTGTCCATCAGAGTTTGGGGGATCATGATATTGAAGGCAGACGTGAAGTCCACAAAGCGCATACGGACATAGGAGTCCTTCTGCTCCAGATGGGTGAGAGTAGTGTGAATCACAGAGGAGATGGCATCTTGTTGATCAATTCTCACAGTATATGTACTGGTGAGGGTCTTCATTGATGTTGATGGTTGTTTTGATGTGGGTCATGACCAGTTTTTCGAAGCATTTAATGACTATCAGGGTGAGGGCTACTGGCTGATAGTCATTCAGACCAGTCACTGTGGAGCTCTTTGGGACTGGGATGATGGTGGCAGTCTTCAGGCAGGTGGGAACTGTCGCCAGGGTGAGTGAGGTGTTAAAGATGTTGGCCAGTGCCTCATAGAGTTGATCGGCACAGTCTTTCAACACCTTCCTGGGGATGTTGTCTGGGTCAGCTGCTTTGTGAGGATTAATCCGCTTGAAAGTATTCCTCACTTTGGCTGAGGTCACGCTGAGAAACTCTTATTCCGATGGTGAGGTGAGTCTGATGCTGGGTGGTCTGTTCGGGTCTTCGAGGCGTGAGTAGAACCTGTTGAGGGCATCAGGCAGTAATGAGTCTCTAGGGCATTGTTCACTTCTGCCTTTATAATCTGTTATACACTTAATGCCCCTTCACATGCTCTGTGGGTCTTGTGACGTGAGTTGATCCTGGATCCTCTGCGCATATTTAGCCTTGGCCCTCTTAATACCAGCAACCAGCTCTTTCCTTGTCTTTCTCAGCTCCTGTGAGTGTCCAGACCTGAAGGCAGTATTCCTGGCTTCCAGTAGGGTGCAAACCTCTGCATTTAGCCAAGGCTTCCTGTTTGGGTAACTCAACATATCTGATGGGGGTGACGTCATCAGCACATTTGCTAATGTACCCCAGGACTGAGGATATGTATTCCTCCAGGTCTAGTGCCCCCTCATTTTCAGCAGCTTCTCTGAAGACCTGTCAGTTTGTTTGTGCACAACAGTCTTTCAGTATGGCGTCAATATTCTGCATCCAAGATTTAACTTTCTTTTGTATCAATCTGGAACATCTCAGTGGGGGGAGGTAAGCAGGAGCCAGGAAAATGGAGATATGATCAGAGAGTCCTAGGTGGGGTGGGGTGTGGCTTTATATGCATTTCGTACGTTTGTGTACACACGGTCCAGCGTGTTGTTTCCACATGTTGGTATGGCTTCATGCTGATAAAATATTGGTAGGCAGTCCTTTAGATTTACATGATTAAAGTCATCAGCCACCACATAAAGAGCCTCAGGGTGTTTGCTCTGCAGCGAGTTAAAATTATAATGAAACTCCTGCAGATCGGCGGTAGCATTAACATCTGGGGCTATGTAAACAGCTGTTATGAACATCTCCCCACAATTTTCCCATTAGCTTGCTGCAGAGGTGCACTCAGGAAAAAAGTCTGTCATCCAAATGGAACACTGAGTATGGCATGTCACTGTTAAGCCATGATTCCATGAGACAAAGCACTGCACACTTCCTCATCTCCTCTGAAGCACCCAATCTTAGACGAAGCAAATCCATCTTGTTGTCCAAAGAGCGGACTTTCGACAGAAAGATAGAGGGTATCAGGAGTTTGCCAGCCTTAGCATTAGCTTTTAGCCTTACTTGCACCTCCGCCTGGCAACCTTGCTTCTTAAGCCAGGAGCAACGTGTCCTCCTCTTCCCATTAGACCACCCCTGCCAGGTAGATGACTTTAGGATCTGCATTCTGTCGAGCATAGATTTGAAATTGTTGCTGATCGCTGCTGTATTCCGTCGTAAATCCGCCCCTATTTTCATCAATTTGGTTCAGTTGTAATTCACACGCATAAAGCTTCCAGAGTCAGGCTCAGAGTCAATTTCAAAACTCTTAAAAACTGGGATTGCACCAAGAGCCTGTGAAGCTACAGCTCCTAAGAGCGCGGCCATCTTGGCCAGGATGCACCTGTGCACCTGAATGATGATCTCAGCTGGGGTAACAACACTACCAGCCTGATCAAGAAAGCACATCAGAGACTCTACTTCCTCAGTCAACTGAGACGAGCTGGTCTGGGAAGCTCAGTGCTCACCTCCTTCTACAGAAGTGCAGTGGAGAGCATCCTGTGCTCCAGCATCAACGTGTGGCATGGAGGTTGCACAGCTGCAGAACAAAAAGCTTTGCAGAGAGTGGTGGAGGTTGCACAGAAGTCTGTTGGAGTCAGCCTCCCCACCATCACAGACGTCTGCACCTCCAGATGCAGGAAGAAAGCCACCTGCATCTTGAAGGACCCCACTCACCCAGCACACACACACTTTTTGC